AAATGGTGAACGTTTGACCCTCGCTCCCGCCAAGAGAGAAAAGGGAGCGGCTTTTCGTGGATAAGCGACACCTTTCGGTTTTGTGCCGGAAACGACATGAAACGGTTACTTTTTTTACATTGTTTGAACCTACATTTGTTTCCTTCTATTCTCTCTCTTTTCTTTGCAAGTGGGTTTCGATTCACTCGAGGCCCTCACTCCTCACTCCCCATTTGGTTGAATTCTAGTCTTTTTTTTTGTTGATTTTGGGTTTCTCGTTAGTGGGTTCATCTTGATCTTGATCTCCCCCCCTTGCAATTCTTTGCTACTGAAAACCCCATTGTAGCTTTTAAGGGGTTTTTCAATGGGAAGGAAAAAGAAAGCTAATAAAAATCAAGGCAAGTCTCTGTTTATTTTGATTTTAGTTAGAAATTGATGGGGAACAACTACTCAATTCAGTCCTTGTTCCCTGTCGGGGCTAGGCAGGGTATTTGGTAAAATTCAGTGACTTAAAAATTGATATTCATCTGGGTTTTAGTTTGATTTTTCTTCTTATTTTGTATTAATTTTTAGTTTCTCACGAGTGGTTTATCGCAAAATCTGATTTTGATCTTTCCTTTTATGATCTCTATGTCTCAAAAAACCCTTGGGGCCTTTGAATTTTTAGATGGGTAGGAAAAGAAAGTTAAAATAAACCAAGGTAAGTATTTGTTCACTTTGAATTTAGTGTGATCTGGAGTCGATTTCTCATCAGAAGATTCCCTTTAGTTGACCGGATTCACTTCCATTTTCTTGATTTTGTTTGATTTTTCTTCCTAGTTTTTGTTGATTTTTAGATTGTCATTAGTGGTTCATCTCAAAATCCAATCTTGATCTTTCCATGTGCAATTATTTATAGTAAAATAACCCTATGTAGTGTCTTTAACTTCTTAATGGGAAAGAAAGTTATTATTGGATGGAAAAAAGCATCTTGGAAAAGTATAATTCTGCCCTTGTTCCTTAGAAACAATGGTCTTTTATTGTCTTATGTTTAATTTCTCCTGTTTTTTATTGAGGAATTTGGGTGGATTCTGCATGTAAATATTTCGTTAGTTAATTCATATGGATTATGGTTCTCAAGCCTTACTGTTCTTGATCTTTCATTCTCCCTCTAACTTGTAAATGTAGTTTACTCCTTGATGAATTATTACATGTTCTCAGCGACAACGACAGTGACACCTGGAGATGTGATGTTTTTATTTTTGATAGTTTATGCTCAACTAAATAATCTCAAATTTTTACGTTAAATGCATCTTTCTTTCAAAATGGCTGTTTTTCTATCTACTTTATTTATTGTTTTTATCAATTTTAAAGAACTGTCCGATCACAAATAAGTGACAATAGTGGGACAGAGAAGAATTTTCAATCAAGTAACACAAACAGAATGGTAGTAAAAAAAATCTATTAACAAAAATGGCACAAAAAATATGATTACAATTTTTCACTAAAAACAATAAATTGCTTACTCAAACTAACAAAGAGCAGATTTAAAATTTAAAATTTAAAAATTGTTACTATGTGAAGTCAACATGACAAGGATCAGATATCAAAATTATGGTGCAAAGACTAAGTACCTTAATTGAGGTAAACATACTTTAACTTAGGTTCGTATCTTTGTAGATGTTGGGTCCCCTTTCATTACACCAGTCCCAACTTTGTAAAGTTTAGTATTTTTTTCTTTCCCCAATGCTCATGCTTATTAGAAGCTTTGAGCATCATTCAAGGTTTTAAATATCGGTTAGTAAAAATATATTGGACGGCCAAAACTCCTATTGGATCCTAGTTATCGGGATATATCGGTGATAAGTAGTAAAAATGGGAGTGTCATGTTGGATGGTGAGCATATATAATATAATGTTCTAAAATATAATCTAAGCATATTTAATGCAATATCGAGAGATGGTCTTCAAGAGAGGTCATCAAAAAAGGCCTTCGAGTGAGAAATTTGTGAGTGATTTGGGGGAGAGAACAGTGGAGGCGGAGAGAATTTGGGTTACACAGTGAGTGAATCCGCAGATGTGAAATAGAATAGGATAGCATGGTTTTTGTTTAGTGTATGCGGGTCAAGTATGGCAAAAGTAGGGTTTTTGCCTCCAAATCCGAACCGGTTCACTTAGAATGTAAATTGTAGAAAATCGGACGATTTTTAACCCACGAGAAATCGGCAGCATTATCGGATTTACACCGATATATCAGTACAAATCGACCAAAAACAATATGCATTAATTTTTTGCAAAAATCATATCGGTCATGGCCCAAACCCTATATATCGGCGATAAATTGATAAATCAGCCTATGCTTAAAACACTGGCATCGTTAGGAATAAATATGGAGTGATTCAAACCATTCTACCAAATATCTAGCATTTATAAACTTTACATGTTTCAACAGTATTTGATGCAGCATTCTAAGCATTTGCGCGTGCATTCTGCAATTTATCTCTTTACCTCTTTCCATTTATTTCTCTGAAGCATTCACTGGTTTATGGTATGCTAACATGTCAACTGACATTTGTAATTGTTTTGAGTTCTTTGGATACAGGGGAGATTATGGCACGAAATCCTGCACGATCTACAGGTCTTATTCTAGTTATTCTTTTGAGCTACTTTGCTCCCTTTTTTTAAAGCTCTGATATGTTTTGAATCATCTGCACAGTGTGATTTTTGAAACTTCTATTAAATTTTCAGTATCAACTTGAGAGTTGAGGCTTGAAGGGACATTTTTTTGCGCCCTTTCATATTTTGTCATTTAATTGGGGCAAGGTTTCCAAGAAGAGTCCAATAATTGTTGGAATGGACTTACGATGAGACTTATAATTGATTTAATATCTTTGAATTACAGATATGTAATGTAATGTGATACAAATTTTGCATGGTCCAACGGACTTGCGGCCAATTTGCTTCATATGCACTTATGGAAAGGTCTTATGGTTGTATTGTATTGATATATTTCTTGTATCTTCTTAGATCTTTCACATGGCTTGCAGATTTTCGCTTAGAGTCTATGTATATTTAATATTTAAAAGCACAACTTGTAATCTCACATAAAAATTCAATCTCATGCCAATATCTATGTTATGCAATATTTTTCTTGGGGCAAATAACTGCATAACTATGGCAATCCAACAATGTAACTTAACCTGACCGCATCTATTTACCAAACAAAGGTTCTTACCATGACATGGGTAAGGGTATCTGGTGCATGCTTAACCACTGCAACCAGGTAGGTATCAAAAACAATTTTAAAATAAAATAGCACATAACGTAATGTCTATAACTTAAAGCTCATATGGCGTAAGGTACATATATTACATGTTTTGTTAATTTTTTTAAACTTATAAAAAATTTAAAACTATTCATGACAATTTAATTTAACTTATAGGAATTTCTAAATAAAAAGCCTAAAATTTATGACAGTATATACTAATATACAAACAATTGCATCAATAAAATGTTGAAACATACCGTCACAAATTTATGTATCCCATTTATAACCTCATACATGCTTCATTCTTACATATCATAAGTTCAGAATTATACATATTATGATACCACTGAGTATCAATCACAACAAGTTCATGTATATTGAAATAACATATATAACATCTATAATATGAAATAGTGTATGCTATGTTGTAACTGCCTAGAATCACAACGTGTCTTTGCTATTTCAAATGTTGTATAATGTACTAGGTTTGGTAAGTTACATAATGCAAAACAAAGATATAATATAGCACGTCTTTTTTAACACTGATTAAAATTTGAAACAAATGAAAAGTAGGGAGGATGGTATCAACAACAAAATATAGATGTTGTTTATATTTTTGTACTATTCGTTGTGTAACCAAGAGAGGCAAGTTTATGCCTTTGCACACCACAATAGCATGCCAAGGTTATGATTTACTTCGGGCAAGTATTAAAATATAATAGGTGACGAACTAGGAACTATCGGCTCAATATTTGGAGTGTATATATGTCACATTGACGTCACAGTTTCCTTGATGAATATCTCTTATCTTTTCACATTAAAAAAGAAAACAGGAATAGTGTTAGCTGAATTATGTTTTGTCTATTATGATATGTCATCTTTATAGAGGTCATATTAGAAAATAAGACTATATTGATAAATCCAATAAAGTATAGCTTTTTATCAAAAAGCAATTGAGAAGCAGTTACTTCACTTTTACAACTAAATCCTAAGGACTCGAGGCAAAAGGTTCCTTAAAAATCAACAGCGATAATGATTGTTATAGCTTATGCAATGGGAGCCTCTTATCTGATCAACAATTTAACAGTAGCGTATTTTTAATAGTTAATATAAAGCCAAAAAAGTCTAAAGAGATATTATTATAAACAAGAAAAAAATAATAATTTAACTACTAGTTATATTGATATCGAGCCAAAATTTATCAATTCTTTTCTTGAGAATGCAAAAACTTGGCGAGTTTTCTTTCATATTTAAGAAAGTTTAATTATATTCTGATATGAAGCAATTAATCTGTCCAAACTCTTGATACTGATACCAAACCATGCAGCTGAAGATGTTGAAATTTGAGTAAAATAAGTAAATATCATAAACTCACTCATCTATGTCTGGTATGAGATGATGAGAGTGCACCTCATAACAGTAAGTAAAGTTGGTCCATGTGACCTGAAGGCATGGATTTAAGTCATGGAAGCAATCTCTGCAGCTGTCCTAATCTGATTTCTGACCCTCCCGAGTCTACAAAATCTGGCACTTGTGCATTCTTTCGCCCATTCTCCACATGCATGATGTTTCTGATTGGAAAGTCTCCATCGATCTTATAGTCCGATTCCAAACCAATCCGATAGTTTTCTATTGTTTAAATAATTGGAACGGTGATATGATGGGTTATGTAGGCTTCTTTTAAAAGTTATCTTCAGGTGGATCATCTTTGCTTCAGTAATTATTCCGTGCACTTTCCTTTTCCTACTCAACACATTAATAACATAACGATTCTGCATGCTGTGCTAGCAAGAGAACATAATAAAAGATGAAATGTTGTTGGAAAGTTTTACTTGCTTTCAAACACATTAACACACTTAAATTTGTTTGTGCATGCATACATAATCATCTACACGTCTCTTTATCGCCTTGACGATTGATACATACTTAGCGGTTTTCATGCTTATGAGTTTGAATTTGTCTTTTTGTGCTTAATATGAGTAGACCACAATGGAGGTTTTGGGTCGTGGATCCGAAGGGCTAATCATAAAGTTGCTATGTGTAATTTTATTCATCTCACACTTGTGCTATTTCCTTTCTTTTCTCTATATGCTAGCAGTCATCCATTTAAGTAGAGGATCGTTGTGAACTTTACTTTTTCTTAGAATCTGGGTTTCAGTATCCCGCATAGATTCCTGCATTTGACAAGTATATTCATATCCTAAGAATATTCATATCCTAGCAGTCAGGGCCGGTTCTGAGATTTTAGGGGCCCTGTGCGAAAAGTAAACAAATCAGCTGCTGGCTCTTCGATAGAGGAAGTGGCGATGATGATGGAGGATTCAGCATTGGGACTCAATTGATGCTGATAACATTCAAGCAAAATTGAAGGGTATAAGTGACAAAACTAGAGGGTATAACTGGTTACTTAAAGGATTGAAGAAGAATGTCCTCTTCAACATAAAAAGGAAAGGGGGAAAAATAACTTACTTAAGCAGTTAACTAATCCTGTTCTTATTATCTCTCCCTCTATGTAATTCATAACGAAATTGAGCATGACTACAATTGGCAATAATCACTATATTGAGGAAACTTCTTTTTGGGGAATGATAATCTAAAGCAATTAATCAAAATTAAGATACTGTCAAAAAAAGGACTTAAAAATTAAATAAAATGAACTAAAAATCAAGAAATAAAATCAGGAAACACAAATATATGTCCAAAATTTATAGTGAATTTTAATGAACTAGGAAAGAACAAAAAAAATTGTAAGTACATAAGAAGGAAAAGCTCACCTTGAGCAAAGTATTGATACCTTTTCAGCTCCTCTCTTACAGCAAGCTAAGGTCAACCTCCTCAGGCTCCTCTAATCAAAGAAACTTTCTTTGATTAGAGGCGGTGTAGTGGGGAGTCGTTTTGGGGAAGAAGTAGGGTCTTGGAGGGGGAAGATGAGATCGATCTGGTTTGGGGGCGGCGGCGGTGTCGTGGCGGAGAGAGAGGTCGATTCGATACCCTTTGGGGAGCCTTCGTTTTGGAGAGGAAGAAGGGTCTTGGAGTTGGAGGGAGGGTGGGGAGATCTAGTTTGGGGAGGAAGAAAGATTTTGAGAAAAGAGGGAAGAGAGATCTGGTTTGGGGAGCGGGTTTTGGGGGGAGGAGAAGGGTCACGGGGGCTTCATTTGTTTAGGAATTGTAGGGGCCTAGGGGGGCTAACTGAAAAATGTCTACCATTTTTCCGCTCACCGCTGTATTTGACCAAACAAACAACACCAGCTATACTTGTACTCCAACGAACTAGTTTACGAAAAAAAATTGGGCCCCTAATTTTAGGGGGCCCTGTGCGGTCGCACACTTCGCACTCCCTCAGGACCGGCCCTGCTAGCAGTGTACCTTCTAACTTGTCTTTCTTCTTTCTACTTCGGTAAAACAAATCCATGTTTTAATGTATGGTATGTTAAATTACTTTTCCTATATAGTAAACTTCTTACAACGTTTTTGTAGGAATTATAACAACTATAGTAATTCAGGATTTGTATTTTAATGTTTGATATTGACTTTATTTGTGTCTATGATCTATTTAGAAAGTTTATTTTGAGCATTTCAGCTTAGATGCTTCTTTCAAGCTAAATATTAATTATTCTCTCTTACAGTTAATTTTATTTTATTAGTCACTTTTCATACTCTGTGTATGGGATGAAAGTAGATTATTGGACATTTCATTATATAGAGTAGTTTATAGCAAGGGTTTCATTCTCATGCTATCTTTTTTGCAGTATAATAGAATTTGATGACCCATTTACGCATCAAACCCTATACTTTCTCACATTCGTGATTTTACTTATTATTGTTGGGCTCATTCCTTGTTACTTATTATTGTTGGGCTCATTCCTTGTTCATCTTTTACTGTAGTTGTATCCATATGGTTTACTAATGGTTGTACTAATCTTATTCTTTAACTTTAGGTATGAAAAGGAAAGGTTCTACTTCTTTGACAAAGAAAAGCACATCTGATTATACAACAAAAAAGGAAGATGTGCTCATGGATATAGCTGCAAAGGGAGAGAACAACATCGATAATGTTGACGAATCAGTGGTGCGCAAAAGGCCAAAAAGAGCAGCTGCTTGTTCAAATTTCAAGGAGCAAACTGTTAGACTATCTGGAATTTCCTCAGTAATTGAAACTAAGAAAAATCAAACAGTGGAAGATGAGATGGTAGCTGTGCATCTCACAAAACTTGGTCCAGAAGATCTTCCGCCATGCAGAAAGCTTCTGGATTTCATTTTGCATGATGCTGATGGAAACCCACAACCTTTTGAAATGTCTGAAATTGATGATATATTCATCACTGCTCTCATCATGCCCTTGGATGATAATTTGGAGAAAGAGAAGGAGAGAGGTGTTAAATGTGAAGGCTTTGGGCGAATTGAGACTTGGGCAATTTCTGGTTACGATGAGGGGATTCCTGTAATTTGGGTGTCCACGGAATCAGCAGACTACGAATGTGTGAAGCCAGCAAGCAATTACAGAAAATTTTATGAGAATTTCTACAATAAGGCCCACATTTGTATTGAAGTTTATAGAAAATTAGCCAAAACTGCTGGTGGGAATCCGAATTTGAATCTTGACGAATTAGTTGCTGGTGTCATTCGTTCCTTGAGTGGAACCAAGAACTTTGCATGTGGGGTGATCAGTAAAGATTTTGTGATCTCTGTTGGCGAATTTGTATACAACCAGTTAATTGGATTGGATGAGACCCAAGGGAACAATGACGTCAGCTTAGCCACAGTACCAGCTCTTCTTGCTCTAAGAGATGAGTGCATAAGTAGATCAGAATATAGTCGGATGCCGACAACTGTTTCAAATGGAAGCTTGAAGATCATAGAAGGAAAGAAATTGGAAGCTGATGAAGATGATGATATGAAACTAGCACGATTGTTGCAGGAGGAGGAAGATTGGAAGTTTATGAAGCAGCAGAGAGGACGTCGTTCAGTACCTTCTAAAAATAGTACCTACATCAAAATCAGTGAATCTGAAATTGCCAACGATTATCCTATGCCTGCATATTACAAACCTTCTGTTGAAGAAATGGATGAGTACATCTTTTTTGAAACTGAGGCCAGAATGTCTTATCGTGACCTTCCAACAAGAGTTCTTACTAATTGGGCACTTTACAATTCTGACTCACGGCTTATTCCTTTGGAGCTACTCCCGATGAAGGCCTGTGCAGAAATTGATGTTACTGTTTTTGGATCAGGAAATATGAGAGAGGATGACGGGAGTGGATTCTGTTCCGAGAATGATCATAATCAGTCTTCAGGGACATCTGACTCCATGGATGAAGGAGTTCGAATTTATCTGAGTGCAATTAAGGAATGGGTAATCGAATTTGGGGCATCAATGATCTTTGTTTCAATCCGAACAGATGTAGCATGGTATGATGATCTCTTCCTCTCTCTCACACCCACATCAAACAAACTATTCCCCCACGTATACACACATATACCACCAAAATCCGAAACTAATTCAAACAAACAGTACAAAGGAAAGAAGTGAACTAAAGAAAGAAGAACAAGAAGATAACCGTGTACACACACACAAAAACAACAAGAAAAAGAAAATCATACAATCTTTTACATCACACAGGAATATTTCATTTGCATTCATGATGAGTAATTAATCTTGATTCTAACCTTTTTATTTACGTCTTCTTTTATTAGTTAGATTGGTTATTTTAATCATATCCTATCCTTCAGCAGTAATAGCTGTATTTATTATTCGAGTAGTCAACTTCCGTTAATAACAGGATAGTTACCACAATTAAAGCACTAAAACTTATTTCATGTACCTGTTGTTTGTCTTGACTACAAGTACATACTAGGTTGACTGCTGATACATTTCATTGTGTTCATATTCTGTCTGATTACAGGTACAGACTTGGTAAACCAGCAAAGCAATACGCTGCTTGGTATGAACCAGTCCTCAAAACTGCAAGGCTTGCAGTTGGTATCATTACTTTGTTGAAAGAACAGAGCAGAGTCTCGAGACTTTCATTTGCTGATGTGATTAAGAAAGTTTCAGAATTTGAAAGGAATCATCCTGCTTTTATTTCTTCAAACCCATCAGTGGTAGAGAGATATGTTGTAGTACATGGGCAAATTATTCTTCAACAATTTGCCGATTATCCAGATGATACAATCCAGAAATGTTCTTTTATCACTGGCCTTTCAGAGAAGATGGAGCAGAAACATCATACAAAACTTGTAATGAAGAAAAAGGCTGTAGTACACAAGGAAGCTAATTTAAATCCAAGTGCATCCATGTGTCCAATATCCAAAAGAAAACTGATGCGGGCTACTACGACAAAGCTGGTCAATAGGATCTGGGGAGATTTCTACTCGAAAATGTTCCCTGAAGACATGAAGGATGAAGTTCAAGAAACAAGGGAAGAAGAAATTGAGGAAGAGCAGGAAGAGATTGAAGAGGAGGAAGTTGAAGAAGAGAACACATTATTTCAAGAGAATGAGACTTCCAAGTCTCCTCCATCTATCAAGGCTTGTAAGCCCAAGACTATTACGAAGGAGACAAGGTGGGAAGGTGAAGCAACAGGCAAAACAAATTCTAGAGAAAATCTTTATAGGTCCGCAGTCATTCGAGGAGAAACTGTTGTTGTAGGCATGGCAGTCATGGTAGAAACTGATGAGACAGAAGAAGTACCACCAATATACTTTGTGGAATTCATGTTTGAAAAACCGAATGGGACCAAAATAGTGCATGGAAGGCTCATGCAGAGAGGATCACAAACAGTTCTGGGAAATGCTGCAAAAGAAAGGGAATTATTCTTGACCAACGACTGTTTGGAGTTTGAATTAGGAGATATTAAAGAATCTGTAGCACTTAATATCCGTAAGTTACCATGGGGGCATAAGCACAGAAAGGAGAATCTTGATGCTGATAATTTTGAGAGAAAAAAGGCAGAAGAGAGGAAAAAGAAGGGATTGCCTGTCGAATATTACTGTAAAAGCTTATATTGCCCTGAGAGAGGTGCCTTCTTTAGCGCCCCTTTTGACTATTTGGGCCTTGGAACTGGGGTCTGTAACTCTTGCGAACGGAGAGAGATTATAGAGGATGACGTTAAGCTATGCTCCAAGTCGAGTCTTATTTACAAGAAGACTGAATACAATATTCATGACTTTGTATATGCCTGGCCGCAGTTTTTTGCTGAAGGGAGAGAGGATGAACAAGGAACATTTAAGGCTGGACGAAATGTAGGACTCAAACCTTATGTTGTGTGCCAGATATTGGAAATCGTCCCACCTACTGGGTCAAACAAACCCACTCCAAGTTCTACAAGTGTCAAAGTTAGAAGATTTTATAGGCCGGAGGATATTTCTCCAGCAAAGGCATACTGTTCGGATATTAGAGAAGTAAGAACCTTAACAATTTCTTTCAAGACATTACTGGTTTATGCTTTTGCCTTAATTCCTTGTTGGTTTTCAATATTTGCAATTCTGATAGGGTTCTGATGGTTTGAATTCCAGGTGTATTATAGCGAAGAGATGCTAAGTCTGTCTGTTGAGATGTTAGAAGGTAAGTGTGAAGTTCGAAAGAAAATTGAACTTCCGGATCTGGAGCTTCCTGTGGTTGTCAATCATATTTTCTTTTGTGAATATTCTTATGATGCCGTCAGTGGAGCTGTTAAGCAGGTATGTTGTTTCTATTTCCCCTGATTTAACTGGTGAATTATTAATATGTTGATGTCATAAATGTTTTCTTAATTTGAATATTGTCTGCAAGCAGTTGCCTGCCAACTTCAAGCTTTTGTCTCATAACCTGAAAGGAGCTCACACTGCCTTTAGAAGAAATAAGGGAAAGGGAAAATGTCTGGAGGGAGAACACAGTGATGATCAATTGAATGATGTACCTCAAGAAAATCGCTTGGCCACTCTAGACATTTTTGCTGGTTGTGGGGGTCTATCAGAGGGACTACAACAGGCTGGTATGGTTTCATGTATCTTACTTATTTTTCATTATTGTATGAGAACGGGTTACAACTTATTCCCTTTTATTGTCTCATTGATGTTAATTTTCAACTTGTAGGTGTTACATTTACGAAATGGGCAATTGAATATGAACAGCCAGCTGGAGAAGCATTCAGACAGAATCATCCCAGTGCACTAATGTTTATTGATAATTGCAATGTGATTCTAAGGTCTTTCTCTATCTCTAGATCTGCCTTATATTCATGAGGGTTGCATTTGAAGTCATTGTATATGATTTTACAGGGCTATCATGGAAAAGTGTGGGGATGCAGATGATTGCATCTCAACTGCTGAGGCTGATGAATTAGCAGCAAAGCTTGACAAAGAGAAGATTAACAATCTGCCAGTGCCAGGTCAAGTTGATTTCATCAATGGAGGGCCTCCGTGTCAGGTTTTCATTCACCTCTTTTACATCAGAATGCTGTCCATTTTTCCTTCAATNCGAGGGTGGGGTGGGGGGCGTTGCACAAAACTTCCCTGAACTTTATAAATCATAGAAAGCCCCCTGAACTTGTCTTGCATAAATTTGTAAAATTTACTGATTTATTTTTTCTGCAGTTTCTGCAACACGATTACTTTTCTTTATTGTTTGTTTTGTATATTCAGGGATTTTCAGGGATGAACAGATTCAATCACAGCACTTGGAGTAAGGTTCAGTGCGAGATGATTTTAGCATTTTTATCTTTTGCTGAATATTTCCGGCCGCGCTACTTCCTTCTAGAGAATGTCAGGAATTTTGTTTCTTTCAACAAAGGGCAGACATTTCGTTTGACTATTGCTTCACTTCTGGAGATGGGATACCAGGTATCATTATTTTCCCTTTGTTTATGCTCTTACTCCTTGAGGTAGGATTTTTTTTCAAGTCCATTTGTCATCGGTTCAGGTGAGATTCGGGATTTTGGAAGCTGGAGCTTATGGTGTTTCTCAGTCAAGGAAAAGGGCTTTCATTTGGGCTGCATCTCCAGAAGAGACGCTTCCTGAATGGCCTGAACCAATGCACGTATTTGCTGGTCCGGAGCTGAAAATTTCTCTCAATGAAGGTGTTCATTATGCTGCAGTTCGTAGTACTGCTGGGGGAGCGCCTTTTCGTCCAATTACTGTAAGGGACACCATTGGAGATCTTCCGCCAGTTGAAAATGGGGCATCAAAACCTACCATCGATGTAAGATTCTTCTTCATGATGAAATTTCTTGTTTTAATCAAGGTTAAGTGCAAAATACACCTCCAGGGTATTGTCACTCGTACCCTTCTAAACTATTTTACTAGCATTTATACCCCTTGAAATCAAGATGATATTATTTTGAAAGGTAAACTTAACATCACTGCTTTACTTTCAATCTAACTTTTGCCCTCAATTTAAGTGAAAAAAGACTAAATTACTTTCTAAATTGAGGGCAAAAAGTAACGTCATCTGAGATTCATGGGTGCTAATAAAGACATTTAGAGGATATAATGACTACACACTATATAGAATAGAGCTTATATTCACAAATAACCTTAAATCAATTTCAATATTTTTCAGCGACTGGCATTATTCATTTCCTTACTATCTTTTCTTTCTTGTCTTAGTACGAAGGTGAACCAGTGTCATGGTTCCAGAAGCAAATTCGAGGAAATATGTTGGCCTTGAATGATCACATCTCAAAAGAAATGAACGAGTTGAATCTTATTCGGTGCCAGCACATCCCGAAGCGCCCAGGTTCTGATTGGCGTGATCTACCTGATGAAAAGGTACTGTTTAACCCATCGTTTTTTCTTGGTACAAGGTTTTCTTACATGTAAGCAAGCTAGGATATTTTCCGATATTGGTCCCCGAAAACTTTCATGTGTCTATATCAGTCCCTCAAATATTATACTAGAAATAAGTGACTTATCAGTTACTCATCCAATTGACTAAGCATATTTGAGTTGCCTTAACCTAGAACACTAAATGAATTTTCTATTAGAATACTAAATGAATTTTCTATTTTGTACAACCAACTCTTCTAAAATCTCGCTCTCTCCCTCCCTCCCTCCGAGCAGAAAGGGAGAGCTTGGGTATTGGTTTGGATATGGTTTATATATGTGGTTGGATGAGTACATTGAGTTAGAAAAGTAAAACTGGAGGTTTAACTCAAAATATTGAACTTAATAGTATATTCCCATGCTTGCAACATAACAACTAATTACAAAGAGTACTTTGGTGGACTCAATAGCATTACAAAACATTTTGAGGGACTAATACCGAAAATTTAAAGATTTAAGGATCAGTATTTACAATACCCATAAATCTAATTCGTTGCAAATTTTCAAGTTTCATTCTTTTGATATTTTGAATCTTTCAATATTTGCAGGTGAAATTGTCATCTGGGCAAATGGTGGACCTGATACCTTGGTGTCTACCAAACACAGCTAAGAGGCATAATCAATGGAAGGGTTTGTTTGGAAGGTTAGATTGGGAAGGAAACTTCCCAACATCTATCACTGATCCTCAACCCATGGGCAAAGTCGGAATGTGCTTTCACCCTGACCAAGACAGGATTCTGACAGTACGTGAGTGTGCTCGATCACAGGTAATTTCCCTTGTTGCTTTTATTACTTTTTCGCTATCAAAGAAGCAAGATATAAACAAATATGTGTTTTAGAGAACAATCATTGGAAGATTGACATGTTTTTTTCGTATAGCTACACTATGAAATTCTGGTTTTCTGACAATACATCAAATTCAGGATAGTTTCACAAAAGTGCTTCAAATCTGCATAATGTACTAACATTCATTAGCGGTATTGTTAACATCTAAAATGTCCCCAATGGTTAAGAACAAAATTTTATCGGAAGAATCCTCATTTAAGTGACTGTTCTTAGCCATTTGGAGGGGGTAGTGAAAATCTCCAAACTGCCCCTTGCTCTCTTCTGAATGGCTAAGAGCAGCCCCCTAGTATTTAAAGCTAATCTGATAAAATCTGTACTCAACGCATACCTACACTAATTTTTGTCAATCATGAAGTTGCGTGCCAGTTACTTTCGAAAAACACTGACACCGGACTTTTGATTTATTGCAGGGCTTCCGCGATAGCTACCAATTTTGTGGTAACATTCAGAACAGGCACAGACAAATTGGGAATGCGGTGCCACCTCCACTGGCGTATGCACTGGGGAGGAAACTGAAGGAAGCTGTTGATGCGAAGCGTCCTTCAGCTTGACTGGTTTTTGTATGTTATAAGCGCGTAGACATCGGATATACATGCCATCAGTTTATAGAGTTGTATCTTCAACTGTAGCAAGGAGGCAGCAACTGTGAAGTGGGGAATAAGTTCTAATCATCATGTAATTTAAGTGAAGATTTTGAATGGAGCTAACGAGAAGTGGAAATGTGAGCCTTGAGGGAATTAATAATTGTAATGACTATTTTTAATATTTGAGGCAAATGTCAAAAAACTCTAATAAGGACCATATCGGTAGTTTTTTTATTTACTTTATATATGGCCTCTTTCATGCTCTATCTGTGTAGTTATTGGAGTTATTTTAGACTTTTCACTGTTAATGCGGTTTAGGATAATATTTTGATAGTATGTTAGTATTAAAAATAGTTAACAGTTAATGATACTTTTGTACAAAGCTTGTAATAGGTTTTTTTTGAGTATTGTAAATTTTTTTTGTTACATTCATGCATTGAAGCCTCTCTTCCTATAGAAGGAGCAACCCTTCAGCTAAGCAAGAATTGGTTTCAACCTCCAGACATGGCCATGAGCAATCCATATTCAAAGGATCCTTTTCTTGTGGCCCTGCGGGATGAATAATGATGAATGATGCTAACTATACTACCATATGGTCTACCCCAAGGCCAACTATCCTCAATCTATAAATCTATAAAAAAGATAAAAGCACAAGCTCCTTTAACGAGTCACTAATTTTGTATAAAAGTCGAAGATGTTGAAGGTACAGACGGTAACGCTAACCTCACGAGTCTGTAGAGTTTTGGAATGCAGAGGATAAGAACTTGATCGGGATTATGAAGGTCGTGCACGCAAATGGTTTCGACCTTGCTCTCATCTCTCCGACCAGCAAAAGACAAAACAAACATCGTTCTTTTTTGTTCCTAATATTGGTTTCGGATTCAATTAACAGCATAACACAGTACACCTTTAGAACACATTTCTCGCGTTGGGAAGTTCGAAAATATTTCCTCGCTTAACTTAGCAGCCGTAGTATACAGGATGCACAACATCACGGCCAGATTATCTTGAAGAGAGATCTAACGTTAAAAGGAGAGAATCTACACCGAGAGTTTCTTTTTCTCTTATACGGAACATGTACCTCTAAAGTCACCAAGCATGAGAACAGAAACTATTTGCCCAAGTGAGTCAAAATTCTGCTGATTAAAACTTCTTTCTTTCCAGCTACTGGGAGATTGTGTGCTGTTAGATAGTGCTTCAACTCCGCAACAGTTAGATCCTTCAGCTGGAAGGGAAAAAAAAAGAAATGTTAAATACTTACCTTCTCATATTACTCTCCTTAATAACCAAAGATTTTGAACTTCCAAATATGCAGGAAAAAAAAGAACTATTGAGAATTGTTGTTAACGACGTCAATATTTTGGATAGAAAGTCCAGACTACCCTTATATCTATCAACCAACAGCAGTCATGAAAGTCACACCCCAAAATTAAAGTTATTATGCGGGATCTAAAATTAGAGTGTGAGGCTCAAAAGCTATGCAATGTGAACCTTGATGTAGATTTTTATTATATATATATATATAGTACATAACATGCTCCTTCTGTAGCTATATACAAGTCATTTTACAAATTTGATCCCAAAGTTTTCCAACAATGGTCCTCGACTTATACTCCCTCTTGATCTGAAAAGGTAGGTTAGTGAGATCACCAATACATTACATAGTAAAATATAGTAAAATGATTAACAATTAGTAATCGGGGAAATTCAAACTCAAATAATAGTGAAAATAATTAACAATATATATGGAATGTAATTTTCTCAGTATCCACTTTGACTTTTGTCTCCATTCACGATAAAACGATATCAATAACGATAACAATTTGAGGTATAAGCCACGCATAATCTAGATATACGCCGATCAATCAATTTACCCTGACGGTTCCTTTTCAATGTTATCGATCGATACATGTGGTACTGAGGTTATATATGTGTGAACAGGATAGTACAATAGTATAAATTATTAAAAAGAAATGAATATTACTTCTTATCCTTGTAGGACCAAATGCTAAATTAAAGAGTGTTGTACGCTTGGGAAGATAGCAACAATTTGCTGACTATTGTTGCTGTAGTCCAGCTAAAATAACTATAAAAAAAGCTTTGATTGTAAAGACAAAAACAAGTGAATGGTGGAATCTCACGATTAGTGGAGTTAGAATAATGTAGGTAACAGGTGATAGTGATGTTTGTAGAGTACTTACTCATTTATTAAAATAGCATATGGATAAAACTACCAGTCCAAAACATGGATTGTCTTAAAAGTACATGGATGACAAATCTCAATTGACTATTATCATATAGATAAAATGAACTAAGGACAAAGCACTGAAGAGGAAAAATGTATAATAGAGGGGCTTAATTAATTATCATCATAACAAGTCAATGAAAAAAGAAACGAAAGGAGTGCTGTTGGATAACCTCACCTTCTTTAAAGCTTTACTTCTATTATTTTTTTTGTAGTACCTCACTTAGCATAACCAAGACCCCTATATGTAGCCATGGTTTAGGTTGATTTTTTTAATTAATTATTTTATTTTACCATGGCGGTACAGTTGATGTTTATCCCTATCATGATGACTCTCCTAGGAGGTAACATGTCCTCTCACATGTCTAATTTTTTTTTAACTTGGGTGAGCTGTAGAGTGGATGATTATCCCTATCTAAATTAGATTATATAATCATGATGGCTGCACCGACTTAGTCCAAGCATTCAATCCTCTAGATACCTTGAGTTGCATCATTTAAAAAAAAAAAAAGGAACCTTAATTTGTATATTAGATTATAATAACAGTATTAATAATAGCTATAATAAAATTTTTCTTGCAATATTAATTTGGGTCATATGTCTTCTAGCTATACATGCAAGGTTGCAACATGCTATTTTGTGGAGAATAACTAGATGTGGTGTTACAATAAAGGTCATATATATACACAAATTACAAAGAGCAAAATTATTCAAAACATCTACTTTGCAATTTGACAGTCTGCCGCCAGCCATTATAATTTAGAGGAAAGGGTTCAATGAAGTTTTATTCAACAAAATGTTTATAGCATTTTTGTGCAGAACACCCAAAACAAAGTTCATGGTAACTTTTGTGAAATTTATCCTTTTTACTATATTCATTAACTATAAGTAATTCGAATGTTGTCTCTCACCTTTCCATTATCTGCAAGGTCAGCCCAGTTGTATTTTCCCACGGCTGCTTCTGCAGTTGCTTTCCTCTTCTTTGTAGCCTCACTGGCAGAACTTTTTGAAGCCATGGATTCAGCTTCTTCTTGGTCGTGGTTTTCACCATACACCGCAATTTTGAAATCTTCAAGTGCATGGGCTGTTCTAGGCCTGTAGAAAAAAGTTACCTGGTAAATTTAAGATTTACTAAAGGGTTATTGCGGATACATCCTAGGTACTATAGTGGCTATAACCCCTAAAGTTCTTTGTATTAGTACTGCGACCCCTTGAATCTCAAAAGGCATCACTTTTTCCCCTCAATTTAGAGGACAATCCAGACTTTCTTCCAGATATATTGATGAGAAAAGAAAATTTATTATCATGTGGTGTCCATGTGACATCTCAACCTAACTTGAAGAAGTGTCTTCTACAGTTCAGGGGATCTAAGTACTAACAAAATAGTTTATGAGGTACAGATGACTACATTCTCATAGTTAATTAACCTTTTATTAAATGAGAAAATTCATATTTAGGGATAAAATTGAAGAAACACAGAAACTATGGTTCAGTGTATACAAACAAACAACTCAAAAGGCCTAGAAAATTACCTGGCTAAGCCTTCTTCATCAGGCCAAGTTTCATCTTTGATGTCTGGCATCTCATCTTCACCCAAAGCTAAGGCCTCCAAAATCCCATAATGTCTCTGTAGCGCTGTAGAAAAGCACAGTAAAAAGTTAATGCCGGAAAGTATCTTCTGAAAATTAAATGCTGAGTTTCTTTTGGGATAAACTAATATGAACATGAACTTAAATTGACCAGCAAACCTCAACACTTACAGTAAAAGAGAGTTAAAAAACACTTATGCTGCTCAGAGCTCGTTCTCTTGGTTAGCCTCTTTTTCTGTCATCAAATGGTATAACAAAGGTTCTACACTCCTTAAAAGTAAACAAATCATTCCTTTCATCCAAACAAATAGAATATAGACTGTTAAATTTGAGTTCCATATGCTTCCATTTTCTAGATGTTCTAATCAACCCTCAAACCTCCATCAAGCAGCTATGCTTCATAACTTGTATGTGAATCCTTGATGATGTTTCCTATATCATAGCCATGAGAAGTAGGATAATACTGATCAAATCAATTGTTTTCATTAGACTCACCATATGAGAATCTGAAGCATGGATTGAATTGTTCAGTCACATAGACTCGAGGTGTTCCTCACTAAACTCCATACAATAATATGCATCAAATAGGATGCAATCCACGGATCCTTTTTATTTGCTTTCCCACATTTTCACAAGTATATGCCCATTCCAGCATATATTCTTCCAATGTTTCGTTTATTTTGCTTTTTAAGTTGTCATAATACTTCTTATAAGCATTAGCATTTTACAATGTCTACTGCAATACATGCTTAATGGCCTTTGGTTCAATTGCTATTGTCCTTACGAAGACAAGGTATGTGCTTTATGTACAGGAAGAATATGTGATACTAGTAACAAACTGCATTTAGAGTATTTTATCAACTTGAAGAGGAACCTGTAGAATGACAAGCTAGTGGATGTAGAAACGCACCTGGATTGGAGAATTGGCAAACTGAGAAATCTTTCAAGTCCATACGCCGTAATAAATTAGAGGCTTTCTCAATTTGTTCATCTGTTGCACGAGGTGCTACACAATCAACTGCTGTGTGAAGCTGCAAGTTTCCCTATATTAGTAGACCAAGTACAAATGTTAGGGAAATCCTAAAACATAATGCTCTTCTTGCCTCTTCAACTTGTCTAATATCATCCGAATATGGAAGATAAATCATATGCATTCCTGGAGGCTCAACTTGACCACTTGAACTCATTATCTCCTCCTATGTAGAGCAAAAATATTAGCAGAAGTCCATATATTTAAAATAAAATCAGCAGTAACAAAATAGATTCTGGAAATTAAAATCATCGATTGATTCTAAGCATTACAAAACCGCATTAACTCTTTTTTGAGTACTGAAGAATAGAGGAAAAGACTGGAAAATATTTAGCCAAGGGGGGTTGTATAATACAGGATTTTCATCAAATCATCCCCATACAGGAGTTGCCTACAGAAGACAGAAAGTTGACATATTGGTACTTTATAGCGTCCATGCATAATCTGGAACAGCCTGGTTAACTTAGCATGATTATCTTCTCACAGAATCTACTCTGTATTATTCATGCGTGAGAGTGCATGCACCTGCACACTATCTGTCATGTAATACAAATAGGCATCCGGACGATATGCAAATGTGTAAAAATGTCTAGATGTGATCATGTGTGCATTTCTTTGTATTATAGTTAATGATAAACAGGATTTTTTACTTGTGCAACTAGTGCAACGAGTTGAGGATGAGCCGAGATTCCATAAAATGCGACTGCATACCTGAAAAGTTGAACTAGGTCTTAGTAAATCATAAAATATAAACTGCAATATTAACTATTACTATACAACAATTTAAAATTCCACATTAAAGAGTGTTGGTCTAACACACATGAACATGCCACAAGCAGATATCGCACATGCACATGTGCACAGAGAACCACACACTAATGCACCCACCCACCCACACCCATGCATGCACGCATGCACACACAAGACAGATATATTTACTCTGTGTATATAAACATGGTAACTCATTTATTCATAAGACTCTGCTTAAACTAAATCCAATTCCTCACTTATTTAAGACGAGGAAAGAGGAAAACTCTATGAGCTATGCTGCTATTAATAGTATCCAACATGCGGATACTATCAACCCAATTTTAAAAATCGGAACCTAAAAATGAAAATCCAAACTAGTAGATGTGATCTACTACACATGAACTAGTTAGAAACAAAATTCCAAAAGATTTCATCAGCACTAACCCATGCAAAATATGTCATCAAAATCAACATTTCAGAATTTTCATGAAGTTGGTTAATTCTCGCCTTGACATATAATTCAAAACACGTTGAAATCATTTGAAATTTTGTTTCTAATTAGTTCATGTGTAGTAGATAACATCTCCCTATTCGGGTTTTCATTTATAGATTCCGATTATCAAAATTGGGTTGATAGTATCCGCATACTATTAATAGTAGACTACACACACATAGGATTATAAGAAATGAGAGCATCCAACCAGTCAAATCACATAGATGGTTTGGAAAAAAGGGAACTTTCTGGTTTGCATAAAAAAAAATGAAATAATGACTTTATATGCTAGCTCTTTGGTTTATCTTTATTTTAAGATCCCATCACTTTGAAAACTGAATTAATTGAGATCCATTATGGTAAAATCGACCATCGTGGACTTCTCAAACTAAATGCAAAGCTATAAAAACGAGCTTAGTGTGGCCATTGTCACGCACATATACCATGTAGGATCATATTTTTTTTTCAAATAGCAGCCTCAAGAGACGACGCTGACGACAATGGGGAACTTCAAGGACGTTGATGGTGAACTTGAGGACGATGATGGTTGACTTTGAGGACAACGACAAACGGACTTCAAAGAAGCCACAATGTCCTAAAAACCCTCTTGTTCGATTCTCTTCCTCTCTAGTTTCTTTCTAAAAGGCGAATTTTTTTTCCCTTTTACTATTAAAATTCTTCAAGACTCAATTACAAGATATATTTTTTTGTACCATGGTTACCTTTAGTTATCTTTCTCTTTATTTTGACATCCCATCATTTTTAAAGCTGAATAACTCTAATTCCAGAAAGGTAAAATCGACCATCAAGTTTCTCAAATTAGTGTAAAGCTATACACATGAGCTTAATCCGGCCATAGTCGCGCACATATATAGATGTGCCAGCTTCTAAAAGAAAGAGACTCAATTACATGATATTACCATGCTTACTTTTAATTCTCTGTACACCTACCTGTCATCCTTCAGGAAGACAATTTAACCATATGCTCCATAGCATCAGTCAGTAAAATTTGAACCATATTAACTGCTGCTGTCTGAAATTCATGAATAATTCAAAAAATTTGTGCACTTGACATTTAGGAAGTGTACTAGGCTACCATAGCTTACAGAACATGTTTGACGCAAAGGACAATGGTACTAACTGCACCATCGACACTTTGCAGAATCAACTGATTTTTTAATTGAGACATAAAAAAGAATGTAAATGACTAAAGCATGTGCACAAAGTATAATGCATCATATGAATATCAAGAATTTGTTCTATATGATTTGGAATCATATTAGCAGCAGCTCCATGACATAAAGTTGATAGCTGATAAAGGTTAGCAGAATGACCATGATAGTGCTATACAGATAATTTCAAATATAAGCATGTTTCATAGGTGGGCATAAGAGTTTTACATTTAAGTAGTGTGGATTAGCTCAGAATACTAACCGGTTGAGGCGTAACATTGACCTATGCAAAGCAATGAAAATGCGAGTGCTTCCAAAAATTTCCTGCATAAGATAAAATAATGAATTATCATACATAAACAACAATTAGATGTCCAAAAACTTCTTTTTTCAAATTTAACATTGAACAGACTAAAATTCAATAACTAATGATGAATCTACAATCTTGAATTTAAGATGAGCAATGAAACCTACATATCAATTTGACACATCAGCAGAGAAACCATGAATGTATGTGTGCATGATATCCCATGTTGCATGGGTACTTCTATCTGGAGCCATACTCGTGGCCGTGCTGTATCCATACCCAACACCAAAACTCCAATGGACACTCGTTGGATATTGTTATACACTTATTCAAATGTATTAATAATAAGATACAAGTTTTCATTTAAAACCTAGCCATATGCTTCTTGGGTGTATACCCCATACTTACACATGCAATTCTTGAAACTCGTTGAACATAGATCGGATTCGTTTCATCTCATACCCAAGTTCAGAAATATGATTATAAAGGTACTTTTGGATATCAAGTTAGAAAATGAGCAACTTTCTAATTTATGGATCTATACAATAAAATAAACATATAAATGTTAAGGGAATTTTATTCCATAGCACGTGGAATGAAAAAACAACAGTGGTCTAATGTAAATTATTTTCTACATAGATGTACATGTAGCCATCTCCCCATACCCTACCATTTACAAAATTGCCGTCGCAGACCATACCTGCACCCGTACACGTATCCGTGTAACTTAGATGATATCAAATTTGTGAGAATAGTCTAAAATATAATATGGAAGATCAAATCCATCACAAAATAAATGAATGGAATTCTGTGTTCACTGGAGTAGAACTAAGACGGACATAAATGGAAAAAAAGAGAAAAAGAAAGAAAGTTTTTGAGAATATCAAGATATATTGGTAATCCTTTAAGTGGTCCAGAATGGCAAACATACCTCTGTGATTAATGCTCTAAATTCTTATCCTACTAGCGTCGTATCAATTTCGCTGCTCCATGAATTTCTTCACTCCTAAATCAGAAAATTCGAGGAGATGTTTTCTTAAGAATGTTTATCAACAACGAGCATTTACTTTCTTAGTGACATTTAATGTGGGAGCCAACATATCTGAATCACAGTCTAGAGTTGAAAAAAATCCCAGTAATTTTATACCATCTAGTTTGCTAAATAGCAACCCTTCATTGATATTCAATTTCAAATAAACATATTGCCACTACCAAATGGTTTAGCAGCAAATATAATGCACTGGGATGTCTCTTGCTTTTATGCCTAACACCTATACGGCTAATGACAGTCAGAGATGTATAAAGAATATAAAGCCATAGAGAATGAGCTTAATGTGACAATTGTATTGCTACTTGCTTTTATGCCTAACACCTATACGGCTAATGATAGTCAGAGATGTATAAAGAATATAAAGCCATAGAGAATGAGCTTAATGTGACAATTGTATTGCTACTTGATGTCAGTACCTTTTATTCAATCAACAAGCGAACAAATAAAGATATTGTAGAATTAATAATGCAGCTGAGCTATAATAGGTTATCTTATCAAAGCATAGATCAATATTATCACCTCATCACTGGGAAAGATAAAAGTTGATGGTCTCAAATTGTGATAATCCTTTAAGCAATCCAGTGGCTTGAATCCTAGAAGCCGAAGTTGGACATTTGATACCTTCTTTATTTGAGACAGCTCATGTGTAGAAAACACAACACTCTCACTGCAAAGCAACAAACTTCCAAAATGTAAGCATATTTTCTTCCTGTTGGCATTTGATATTATTACTGACTAATGACATATTTGTCCTGTAAATGCGACTTCTTGTAGTTACTACTCGGAAAAGAGATACCAGCAAAAGGCTTCTGAAAAACAATATGACCAGAGTTATGGCATTAATGACGGCAGATGTTTTATCAAAGAGATGAGCTTGTAACTATAGTATTTAAGCAACATAGGAAATAGGTGTCCACGTATGTTTGAAATGATTTGAAACCAAATACTACTTGAAGTACATCAGGGATTTGATCAAGCATAAACAAAATTTGGTTCTGTACCTCCAATATGGAGGATTTCAACTAGATACTACAGAATTGGCTGCAAAGAACCTAGAGATTTTTTCAGGGAGAGTTGAAGGCCTGAACAATGCATGTTGAGAAAGCTACATTTCTCATCAAAAGAAATACTACACATAAGGATGGTTCTCACTTATAATGCATGAAAACTAAATTCATCCACTGGTAATGTGCCTGATAAAAGGAAACCAATACTGTCAAGAAATATGATGATGGAACTGGAAGATCCAGTAACAAAGAACAGGAAAACAAAAACTTAACATGAAAATGGAAGTATGAATTCATCTTAAGGTTATAGCTCCAATAATTCATAAGATAGGATCCATATGAATGGATATATACCTTCTGTACGGATGAAAACGTTTAGGTGGTTCATGAAGTAAAGCGCCAGTATCTGCACATATGAAAGACCTTTCCGACTGCAAAAAAGTAACATAAGCAAGATTTTTAAAGAAGCCAGTATAAACGATTTGGTTTGAGAAAACATAAGACAACCATGAATGTAAAACTTCAGCACCCAGACATATTGTTATTTTATGGAATCAACTTAGAAATGCATGCACTCTATTATGTGCTCTCAAGGATATCATAAGCAGAAACAAAGGGCAGGAATGACCATACAGACCTGTGTGTACAAACACGCATCCTTTGAGAAACAAGAAAGTGACAAGAAAAGAATCTACATAATTTAAGTACGTAGGATTAAGGAAAAAACACTAAAACACTCAAGTATGCGTTACTCTCACCTTCAATGGAAGATTAGTGACAGAATCAAGCCACAAAATTGCCCCTGAATTAAGCAAAGCCAACGGTTAAAAACACCAGTCATCCAGAGAATTCTTTTTCTGCGGTAACTTCAGAATCACCTTAAAAAATACTGGGAAGTAGTTAGGCGTAGAACCTGGTAAAGTAGGACGGATCAAAGCATAAGTATTCACTTCGATACATATATCATTTGATATTGAGAACCAGATGCTTCTAATTTTACGCTTTGTAAACATCCTTTTCTTCAGCTGAGTAGTCATATCTTCCAATCTGATATACACAAGGGGGAAAAACGTCATATATCAATGTATACACCCTTAACATGTGAGGCTGTCTATATGAGTCCTGGGTCTTCGTTCCTTTTCTTTTCTTCTTATTTTGGGGTACATGTGCATGCCAGGGGGACTAGGACTGGAGTTTTTAGCTAACATGTCATCTAAAAGCACCTACAACTACAACTGGGACTAGCACAGACATAACACTCCTGGTGAACTGATCTCAAGCAATAGTCATGGATTATTCATACCATGCAAGGAAACAAGAAATTCTAATGTTTTACAAATACCTTTCCCCTACAGATGGCAAGAACCGAGATACCTCTTCAGCTTCCAAACCAATTAAATCCTGCGATGAATAAACAGAATTAGCTAGTTCAAATGGGTTTAGGGACCAAGTTTCTAAGATGACAATACGACAATAACAGGCTGCACATACAGAATACATAACAGACACATCGAATTTCTCATCAGGCCTGCTCAAGGGAAGAAGCTCAATTGAGATACCAAGGTCTTGTGCATCCTAGAAAACATAATTAAGCATATATTACTTATAATGTATGGATCATCTTGGAAAGATTAAAACACAAATCACATGTAAGTTTATCTCAGAGGCAGCAGTACTTTTGCGCGTTGGAGGGTTGTTCTGATCATATCCTTTTTGGTTGCCCCTGTAACAGTTCCAAAGGGATCATCTTCATTGGTGAATATAAGCATCCTCTTGCTCACATTTTTTGTGGAACTGAGAAATATACAGAGTTAATAAGATTTACGAAACGTGTGGGAACATAAGAAGATCTAGCACAAATTGTGATATAAAAACTGAATAAATTAGGCAAAACAATTTACCCCTTACGCAGCAAAGCCTGTCCAACCCATAGAGCATTATATATGGAATTTTCCCGGGATCCAGATATGATCCCATACTGACTACCAATGCTGTTCATGAAATTCTCTGCCATTCAATCATGTTCAGAGTGAAAGATTCAATAAAAAAACAAATGGTGATAAAGGAAAATCTCTTTGAAGTTAATATGTGAGCACACATGCATGTATTTGTGCATGTGTAAGGTAATAGTCTATAGAAAAAAGAGTACGACAATTTTAGATGTTAATTATTATTAAGGCAGTTGACACAAAACACTAATGTAACTAACAGACTAGTGAAATTTCATAAAATATTAAGATAGTGCTTTGATGTATATAGTACTAAATTGAGTTTTTAAATTTCATTACATGAAGAGCAAACAATAAGTTTTTAAGCAAGAATACAGGTCACGAATATACGATAGGTATAGATCCACTTGGCTTCTCCCTAGACTCTTTAGGAGCAAAAAAAGAAACATAGAATACTTGTAAAGAAGAAGGGAAAGTGGAAAACGACAAAATTTTTTGGTGATATATTGATATGTGTACATTCTCTGCCGTACTTCAAATTTACAATGTTCAAGAACTAGCGTTCCAAGATTCAGATGAAGCTAACCTGCAACAGCATTTTTTTAACAATTTTACAATTTTCAAGGAAAAATTTTAAAACATGGGCAATATATTGAATTCAGACAATGTTAAAGAAATCATTGAGATTTTGTCGCCGGAAAAAAAGCCCCGTGATGTATTTGAAAAAGAAGGCAAATTAAAGCCTGCCTACTAAACCCCCTAACTTTTCCCAACGAACCCCCAACTTTAACACCGCAAGTCTTGAACCATAGTTTTCATCCAGGGTTAGTTGCAATTGTAGAGATATGTGTAATTGCCCTTCAACCACAAAAATACCTCCTCAATTGAATGGTTTGAATGCGGAAACCATCTAGGAAAATTAACAAGATGTTTCACAATTTCTTAATACTGGAAGCAAAGATTCAGTAGAGAATACATGAGATTTGAAATTTTTTAAGGAAGAGAAAAGAAAGGATCAGGAGCTCCAACCTTGACCAGCGGGCAAGGAAAAATAATCGGGGGTTCGTCGGAAAGATTAGGAGGGTTTCATGGGAAAAGTTCAGGGCATTAGTGGGAAAAACAAAGTTCGGGGGGTTTCAGGGGAAAGAGCCCAATCTTTTGTAGTTTTTTATGAGTTTACCCTTAAAAATGCATGAGTGAAATATAGTGAAAAGGGAGACAGCTAAGGAGAGAAAACATGCATATCACCTTTGTCACTTGCTCTTACTGCCATCCCCGCTGTGAATATTGCTTTCTCTTTCTCACTTAAATGGTAGTTGTAGTGATATTAAACTTATAAGAGTAACTGAATAATCATAAAGTAATTTTTAGTAGGGTGCACTGGTTTAAAATTTTTTATATTTGGGTCAGGTACAGTTGAAACTATAAGCATATAATACCTTCAGAGCCTGACACATAGAAGTACAATTTCATGTCTTAGTAGCACGGGCAAATGACATTGTTGGAAGAGAGAGATCGTCTGTGCCTAATAAGACTTGATATAGAGAGTTTGTCTGTGCCTAATGAGACTTGATAAAGAGAGATTTTGTTTGTGCCTAATGACAATTGATATATACATGTTTAGATAGCCATAGTTTTGTATAACCCGAAAAGGTCATAAAAGCTGACATGTATTTAAGTTCACGGCCATGATCATGAAGGGAACATCACTTATTAATAAATAATTCATTTTTCTTAATGGATCAAGTTACGAATCTACAATCAGAACAGAATACATTTGTTGCTGTAGTTACCTCCAATAGAAGAGAATTCTTTAATTAGCTTTGCAGTGGGCTTATCAAGAGATTCTCGCTCCATAACATCGAAGACATAAACACCATTTAGATTTTGTAGATTTTTCTTTTCTCTCTGCAATACGTTAGAAAATTTATTAAAATGAAAATAATTTGGAAAAAAGGATATGAGGTGACAACTCATTTTGCTAAATGACCTATCAATAGCTATGATAGTGCAGGTGACAATCTACCCCCAATAATTAATAGAAAAAGCAAATTACTTATAAGCATACGACGCAAATTGTTCTAGTTAACGAAATTCAGTGATA